AAGTATGTTTAATTTACGTCAACCCCGTACCTGTAAGCATCAACTATATATTATTTCTGTCTTACAGATAACAGATTAAAATGAACTGTAAATATCTGCGTCATCCCACATGTTTGTAGTTGATAAGAAAAAAGAATTTAACATACGTCGGAGACACACTGAATTTTCAGAGATTTGAGATCCTCTATATTAACATTACATTTTTCATCCCAAACACTCAACGATTATATTTGTTTTATATTCTAACGGTTCTCGCATGAAACAGAATTGAAAAATAACACGTGATCTCTCTTCAATTACAAATATCTATAAAGTAACCATCCCACGGTTAAGAAAAACAAACAAACAAACAAACAAACAACAGTAAGGGGATTCGATCCAGGAACTTTTTAGGTCGAGAGCGGATATCTTACAATTGTGCTACCACTACGATACATAAGATTAGGAGAACATTTTGAAATCTTATTTGTTCACTCCAAATATCATCAAGACCTCTCCTTATAAAAGTACTCACATATGAACAACTGAAGTCACGTGACGGCATGAAAGATAACTACACATTAACAAACAACTAAATGAAACATTTCCATTGAAATCAAGGTTTACGTGAAAGGTATCTGATAACTTGGTAAACCAAACAGTCTTTAGATTAACACGCCGTACTAACGGCTCTTCTGAAACCGGATCACAACTGTTTTCATAGCTTCGCTTTCGAATTTCGGTGTTGAAAGTCCATTTCTAAGGATTCGGTGTGGTTTACCAATGAAAACACCCACCAGATATATCTAACCAATTTGACAAATTTCTAACGTATCGTGTCACTATGGAGATGACGAAGATTATTAGAGCCATGTGATTTAATATACATACCCAGGACATTGTATACTTTAATGTATCATTATCTTCAAATGAACTTTGCTTCATGTAACTTTAGGAAGTAGCAGAGAAGTGTACATCATTCTAATCCTGTTGTGCCTAATTGTCAGTCCACTTCCGGTGTCGAGAACACCAGATGAGTGAATAGTGATGGGGAACATGTGTGGCAACGAGAAACGGGATCCCAGTACAGACTCGTACGGTGACAAACTGTTGAAATATGTCACCATTCCCGTCTCAACTCTACTCGGAACTGTGACGCTGATCGTGCTCTACCTAGGTAAGACGTACTCAAAAGCATTATAGTGAATTATTGCTTATTGTAGGTCCTCAGTTGTAGTTTTCACTGCATATGTTGTTATAGTATTGTAATATATATTTTCTATGAGTTACGATCTAAATGATGTCTTCACCTAGAGTACTACAATCACTGTTTCTCTGGTAAAGTTGCCATTTAGAAACCTATTTTCGAAGTTCAATTTGTTTTACCTAAAGAATAATCTATTGTTACATTTTTAGCCTTTATAGAAAATTCAATGACAATATGCAGTATGTTTATCGTGCGTGTGTGTATTTTTTTAAATTTTACTTTATTTTTTTTGGGGGGGGGGGGGGGTTTAGGGGGTGGAGTGGGGTTGTGTTTGTTTATGTTTTGTTTTCCTGTCCATTTGAATAAATACTATTAAATTAAGACAAAACACTAATCATAAGTATGTCACTATTTCAGAAAAATACAGTTATCATATTTGTTGCCTTCTTTTACCAGTTGACAAAGTGTCGTGCTATTCAAGTACAGGAATCGGAAACAACTACATCGGCTCAATTGCAGAAGACCGCTGCTTCAACAACTTCAGAGTGGCAACATTGTCCGGATCAAAATGGACGGAAGAACGGCAGCTGATGCATAAATTCTTTCCTATTTTGCTGTTGTGTCAATCTCTATCGTTTGTGGTACTCGCAATTCTCTGGGTTTGGTGTTTGTCCAGGGATCTGACCAATCAAATCAGTTCTGTGATAGATTACTGTGACAATCTCACAGAATATTATCGCAAATACGACAAAGGCCTGCGAAAAAGCGTAACGGAAGCAACACTTCACAGAGAAATTGATAACTGTTTAGAATTTTTGATCTGCCTCCTGATGAAAAAGGCCAAAACACTATACATTTTGAATATGGTTAAATGGGGAAGTCTTGTTTTACTATGTTCTGTTTGGTTTATTGGCTATTTCGTCATTGTCCTTCCAGACCTGGTCATATTTGAGAATAGTTTTTTCTGTCTGTATGATGATGTTCCAGGTGTTGGTCAAAAGGTCGCCGAATGCACCATTCCAACCTCAACATTCCTTCGCGCTGTGTGGTATATCAACCAAGTTATATTAGGACTTCTCTCATTGGTCGCTTTGTTTCATGTAATGGAACTTTGTAAGAAGAAGAATTTCTCGTCGTCGTTTTTCTATAAAACCATTCCAGGACTTCAAGATGGCCGACTTTCAGAGTGTGTGGATTTGTACTATAACCCTCGCTATATCTCCTTTCTCTCGCGTTTTTGTGATTCCAATATCCATCTGTGTATTGATTCTGGACTCTCCAAATCTTTAGCCCGGAAGTACGGATCTCCGGACGGTTGGACGCCGGGAAAAGAAACCATTGTAGATAAGCATTACCCAGTCATACAACCAGAGCAACTGAAGAGATTTAGGCAATCTTCAGAGGAATATTTCAAAAAAAGAGATCGAGGCAAAGCGAAAGTAGTCAAAATCGTAAAGGTGCATCCGGTGTCGATGCAAAAGCAAAACATTTCTGGTAAGAAAAGCACAGCTTCCAGGAAGTCAAACATATCATCCAGTAAAAGAACTGAGACTTCAACTTTGACTTGGAATCAGTCGGTATATATGACGTCACATCTCCTTGGCAGGAAATTGGAAAAAGATCTGAGATCACTTCGATCGTCTAAAGATCAGAGATCAATCGATTCCACTCCGCGAACTCCTCGTAGTAATATTAAACTGGAGGATTTATCTATAAATATGACATCCCCGAGAGCGCATATGGATTACAGACCACGTGACACTGGTCAGTATCCGACATTCACATCGAGGAACAGGGAATTCAACCCAGATGCGTACAACCTTGATTTGACAATTCGTAGAAACCATGCTGCTAACTTGAACACATGGAAGCCATAAGCAAAACTCTTTAGTGTAATCGTTGTTACTCCCCTTTGGAACAGGTCTTCACTTTCCATCCCCTACATAGTGTTAACATATGCATTTTGTTAATCAGATCGTGTTAATTAGCTCCGGAGAGACTTATTTAGATATTCATGTCGTATTCGGCTTCACACAGGTCAACTTCATAAGGCCAACTGATATCATTTGTATCATGTAAAAGTTCATTTGGAAATAAACGTAAACAAGATTGTTGAATGAAGGGAAATCTTTACATAACAAAATCACCAAGAAAATACCAACATAGCAACATAATCATAATCCAAACTCCATTCCATAAAACTAGGGCAAAGCATGAAAAAGAAAGATTTACACGAAGACTTGTGGAAACGAACAAGGAGAATATGACCACGTGTTCCGGAAGAGTAAGCGCCTTCTGCTTCATCGAATTCACTTGCCAGGTAATAATTGGCTAATATAAGTAAGTAATGTCACGTTCTCAAATGAGAACAAGGTATAAAACAACAGAACAAACAGACAAACTACCGAGCACCAAATTCATTCAGTTTCGTGTTACACAAAGGAATAGAACATTTCTCAATGAGATCACTATGGCGACCATAAAACTTCGCCATAATTTTCATCAACTTGCATTTTTTAAACCCTTGAGATACGAGATTGTCTGTCAGTTGACGACGTCTTGCACGAAAATCGTGATAATGGGAACAGTCCCTTGAATATCGAATGAACTGTGATATGTAAATAATATAGGTTGGAGATGCAGATAAATTGCTATCCAGAAATGGAAAGCTGGCAACATTGAAATTAATCCATCACGTTTGTCATACAGCTTGATGTGTTGGATTCATTGTAGAAAAAGATCGTGATAAGCAGCTGATGTAAAAGAATATAAATATCCTAAGATGGCGACGTCTATTTATTTTGAAGCAATATGCATAAGTACAAATAATGAAATCCATTTAAAGAGAAGAAAGATTGCTCGGCATGTAACTACCAACAGTCCTTACGTAAGTGTTAGGGTGACATTTACCACTAAACTGTCTTTGTGTAGGTGGTAGGGTGAGATTGACCACTAAACTGTCCTTGTGTAGGTGGTAGTGTGAGACTGACCTGTAAACTGTCCTTGTGTAGGTGGTAGGGTGAGATTGACCTGTGAACTGTCCTTGTTTTGATGGTAGAGAGAGACTACCAGTAACTGTCCTTTTGTAGGTGGTAGGGTGGTATTGACCAGTAAACTGTCCTTGTGTTGGTGGCAGGGTGAGACTGACCTGTGAACTGTCCTTGTCTAGGTGGTAGGGTGTGATTGACCAGTAAACTGTCCTTGTGTTGGTGGCAGGGTGAGACTGACCAGTAAACTGTCCTTGTGTAGGTGGTGGGGTGGTATTGACCACTAAACTATCTTTGTGTAGGTGGTAGAGTGAGACTGACCTGTGAACTGTCATTGTGTAGGTGGTAGGGTCAGATTGACCAGTAAACTGTCCTTGTGTAGGTGGTAGGGTGACACTGACCTGTGAACTGTCCTTGTGTAGGTGGTAGGGTGAGGTGGACTAGTTTTTTTGCTTGGTTTATCGCTCCGGGAACACCCTGAGTGATTTTTTTTTTGGGGGGGGGGGAGGGAGGGGGGAAGTGGGGATTCTTGTAGTAGCTGTGGCAACTCAATGGACTTTATACAGGAGAACATCATCCATCGAAATTTTTTTTATTTGTTGTTTTGTAAGTTCAGTCGTCAGATATTATCTCTCTCTTATGTATTTACAGGCAATGTAGTGACCGTAATGAATTAAATTTGACATTTTCTAGAGAGGAAATGATTAAGTAAGGACATCCGCATCTGACAGGCTATTTGTAGTGTTACAGTGTTCTGTATAAATAAAACATGGGATGTATGTGTCGAGAAACAGACTTTTGTATCGAAAAGCTTTGTTGAGCATAATTCTCTACAAGCTGGTATTTATCTTCATCATATTGATTGGGATAGGTGAACTATGATGTACTGTTAGACCAACGGAAGTAGAACAAACGTGGCCATCTCTCTCTCTCGTTACCTGTAAATCATTTCTAGCAACCCTGCAGGTGAGAGAGGGCGGGACAGTCACTGGTTTATAAGAATAGACGAACGGACATCACTGTATCTCTGCCGCAGGACATGCACATTCGGACTTATTAAATCGAAAGTAACGGCACTGACCACTGGTCAAGAGGAGATCTTTATCCGTATTATGTGGTCACGCTGGGCCGTTCAGGTATGTAGATCTTATATTGATATTTGTGAACACCTTTATGGCAAATTGTGATGAACGTGTAGGCAGTCTGACACTAAACGTCTAAGATTGATACAGGTAACGAGTTTATTTGATAGGTGTGTTGATAGACAGGAAAGTATATCGGCGTGAAACGTATACTAAATCTACCTGTGAGTACACTGTCGTTAAAGCTCTACCTGGCTATTAAAGCATCACACAGGCGTTGTGATCAGCCAGGCGTGTCCATGTGTCTAATCACCGTAACACAGGTGTGGTACAGGTATAGAGGTGGGGTTACCGGTGTACAAAACTGGCTGGGTCGGGAAGTACGGTAGTCTGTTACGACTGGATACATCTAGCAAGTATCGGTGGGATTGCTAAACTGCGCTACCAGGTAAGAGTCGTGTGTATGTTTTATCTCTATAAGGCTACACATTTATAATGACATATTGTAACTTAAACAGGTTTCAATTCTGACCAGTATCAAATTTCTTCAAAGGTTGTACGTTACACGTACAATCGAATTCCTGAATTCTAAATGTTAAGTTTAAGGAGTTTATATATATATATACAACTTTAAAATCGTATCCTTAATTGTACACTATGCATGTTAATAAGATCAAATTTGCATAAGTTTGTATAAATCACAGGTCTTTTGATGAATACAACCACTTGATATAGATTAGAAGGTGTAGGTTGTTATATATCAGGCGAGGTATCATGTAACGAGTATCTCCAGATTTAGTGCAAAACAATCCTTTTCCTGTCTGCTATTTGATGCACACAAATAAATACAAATACATTTATTATCTCACTGCCTGATTTTTGATACATCCACATGTATGTAGAAAACATGAAGATGCAAGCTGACAAATGCAGTATAAACAAACAATTGAATGACCTTACATGTCACGTTTGTGTTTTTGTAATTTTAATTGTTTTAATTACAGTAATGACACTGCATGTTGTGTGTTTTAGCACATGTACTGGTATACGTTGTGTAAATGATTCTGCACAGCTTAACACACCTCGATTAACTGTAGGAATTTCCAACGTTATATACGACAATGTAGAGTTTGTGAAGCCCAACTTTATTTTCTATTTAATAACGCGGAAGTAATTTAGCTTGAATTTTACTTTAGTGGAATTGAGATAGTGCTGAACATTTAAAAATAATATTTGATATCAGTTTGCATGGACAATAATTCTCAATAATGTATGTTGTAGTTATATTACCGATAATTAAAAAGTAATATATCGCGTGATGGTTTGCATAATAAAGCTATTAAACTAAACATATTTCCTTGAACATTTCACAAAAAATCATTGGATATTATACATGTAGCAACATTTTTAACCTAAAATATTCTAATCCTAAGATATCTCAGATGTCAGTTGGTAGGGAACCAATTTTTGTAACATTAGGTGAAAGAGATATCTCAAATATCCACGTGTTGTATTCTATGTCCTCTTACCAACACCCCCACCTCCCCCACTAAGTGCTTCGTATGGCATGCGACGGTCCTCCCGTAGTGTGCTGAGATCGTTGCGAAAACCAGAATGTTCAAAGGCTGACAAACCCAACAATAAAACAAATAACAATCACGGGTTTGTGAGTAAGTGTGGTCATGTTGATTAATACAACATTGTTGACATGTGGACTGTTACATTAATTAGTCTGTCTCGATAGTACGTGTTGCCTGTTACACGTCAGTATGAATGGTCAATTGTACCGATGTCTTACTGTCCAGTTAGGTCACTGTATCCTGACCTAAAAGGTACATGTTGTTCTGGCCGGTCAGCCATCTATCATACAATGTATCAGTACATATATATTTCGATGTACACGAACACAATGAACGTATGTGGGGATGCAGCCTTCAAAACAACCTACTTCATTCCTATATACATCCTATACTAATCTTATAATGCTCCAACCTACTTCATTCCTATATACATCCTATGATAATCTTATAATGCTCCAACCTACTTCATTCCTATATACATCCTATATATACTAATCTTATAATGCTCCAACCTACTACATTCCTATATACATCCTATAATAATCTTATGATGTTCCAACCAACTTCATTCCTATATACATCCTATACTAATCTTATAATGCTCCAACCTACTTCATTCCTATATACATCCTATGATAATCTTATAATGCTCCAACCTGCTACAATCCTTTATAATCCTATATATAATAATCTTATAATGCCCCAACCTACTTCATTCCTATATACCTCCTATGCTAATCTTATAATGCTCTAACCTACTTCATTCCTATATACCTCCTATGCTAATCATATAATGTTCTAACCTACTTCATTCCTATATACATCCTATAACGGTATAACGGTAGAAGGCAGTCTTGTACCAAAACCAGATCAGAAATGTAATTTATGAAATCGTGGTTTTCCAGATTGAATTCCTGTGGTAAGGGATGATAGGACAACATTAAGTGAGTCAGGGCTCCATAATGTTAATGACTTCTGATTGCGACGCTATTTAAGCTGACCATTTCAGAAGGCATTCATAACGTCATGGGTGCAACTGGTCCAATTGCTGACGTTATGGATATTATAATGTAATGCTTGTAACACTCTCGTTCTTCTGGAAAATCGTTATTTTGAAATCAACGACGTAATTTGACGAATTAATGCTAAACATTAATATATGTTTATTATCCTTTCCGCCATTTAAACTAATAACATATGATAATGGCATTTTGTGTTCCTAGATAAACACTTAGCACATAATAGGATGCACATGCACTGGTTAGCTCGTTGCCAATGAAATAAATGAGAATGTTGTTGTGTTCAAGTTATGATTTTCACTGTCCATGGGTTTCTCCGTCATTCTTAGTCATCACAGTCGTATAATTTAGGCCGTTAAGGACGACAACTGAATGAATAAAGGCAAAGTCGCCAGGCAGTCCTAATGATATAAATTGAATGTCTAAATAGACCGGAAGTTGATAGCGCCTTACTTTCAGTGGTGTCAAATACGGGGTTGACATAATAAATATGTATGTACTGGACAGATCGGGTAGACACCAGACCAGCTCCAGGGGTTACCGAAAACACGGTGTAATATATATGTCCTATGTTTCAAATGGTATTTTAATCTCATTTATTGAACCGTTTTCTTGTTTCTCTTGCCAAGATCCGGGTAACTGGTCACCTCCACACAGGTGTACCACTTCAGGGATATCTCTGGGCGTTTCCAGCCTTTACCTGTAATCAGGTATTTCGATTGCAGTGTACACACATATGTACTCCAAAATATTGCTGATTTAAGTATTTTCGTCGTCATAAATCCTTTCCCTCTAATTCATCTAAGTTTTATACGTATAGTATTCGTACAGCTCGTAGATATCTTACCTCCAGCTACATGCACGTACGTGTGATGTTTCCCATGCCAATTTTACGGTAGTGTCTACGGTAAATATCCCACGGTCGTAATGTTCACATTAGTTAAGGTAACTACCGTAAACTCGTTAAAAAATCTCCTTATATGGATTTATTACACAGCCCATCAACATTAAACGCCCCCACATTAAGTAGAACCGGTTAATGATTGTACCACTGTAATAGATTGTACTAGGTTCTAGAAGACTCTTATCCTGCCGTATGAGGCGACTTATGTGATGTTTCACATGAACAAATAGTCTGAGATGCAAAAATCAACACCTTTAACCTTTGTTCATGAACTTTAAATTGAGTGCAAACATGTGTGTATATAATATACCTCCTCCCAGCCTCATGCACTGCATGTGTAACAGAGGTAATTTCTTTTTTCAAAGTCTTTACCAGGGAAAATATTCTTTCGACGCTTGACTTCTCGACTACTCCACTTTTTGAGCTAAAGAGAAATTGCCCTTAAGGATAAGGAAAGCACTAGTATTTACACATGTGGTTTATATGCATGGGTAATGTTTACAGTGTCAATCGAACGCATTACATGTAAACAAATATTTCCTGAAGTGTTTGTGTTAATATTATCTTATGGGATGACGACATGATGGCAACCAAAACATTTTCCAATAATTTTCATCAATTTACGTTCTAGAAATTCTTTGTTGTTAGATATATATAAATTTTATTTATTTTGCAGTTATGAAACATGTTAACCAGCTGATATAAATCACACTTGTGGGCCCAGATCGTAACATTATCCATCAGCTGTCTAAATCGACCTTAGTAACAGTGATATTTAGAACAAGCCCTTGAATTTCTAATCAGCTGTGATATTTAGATATCAAATATTGAACAGCTGAGTGTTGCTATCTAGAAATGGAAAGGGCACATAGGGCAATTGAATGCCGGTAATAGGCCCTTATTGATGACGTTGTAAGTAAACATGTAGATACACGGCTGATGTGGAAGAATCTGTAAGTGTACTTTAGCAGTCTAAGTACTGAGCATTGGTTTCTCATCGATTGATCACGTCTTCCATGCCTTGAGAAACAGAATCTTGTACTGAAATTGAAATTTCGGAGACGAGAATCATCAATACGACACCTGCTCAGCGCATTTTTATGTTGTCTTTTAAAAAAAAAAAAACAACCAAACAAACAAACGAATTGTAAATTTCACAAATATACTTGAAAACAAAACATAACATTCTTGATCACGGACGACAAGCTAGTTTTACTTGAGGCCAGAGGTGTTTTATGCAAACTAGGTCATGTATTTTGTCATTGACAGTACTCACTTTAACTGTGATCAGTCACGCGAAAGCTCGCCCAGAACAAGGAACAGCGATTTTCTTGTTATCTAATATATTCAGATATGTGTAAGATTACAACCTTCACCTTGGTTCCTTGTCATACTGTGATTGAGACAGACTGACTGTTGTAACAAGGCTACCTTCGTGATAATTAACAGCGTTTCATGAAGTAGTACATGAAAGCCAGCCTGCAATTTTCTCATATGTGTATGGTATTGTCAATTGTTAGTACTGAAATATTCAGAAAACATATCCATTTA